GAAAAAAAGTCTATGCACTTAAGCATCTTGAAATATTGCAGACTGGAAAAATGATGCCCTTCATCAGCACAGAAAAGAGCAAAACCAGTCAGAATGAAGGGGGGGAAATGACACCATAACAGCATGTCCCGAATCATCTTCATATTCTATGATAAGGATGGGAAATTGATGGATGTAAGATGTGTAGGACAATAACTGTAACAATCCCTGATCATCTATCACAGTGGTTCTTAACCTTTTTGAACAAATCGCCCCCTTGAGCCAATGAGGAAGTTGTCATCGCCCCCCTCCCCCAACATAACCTCTCAATCACAACATAAGAAATAATTCTTCAATTTATGCAAAAACTTTTGTTTTCTTTAAAATTGTCATCAGGACATATCGATGCAAATAATTTATTTCCAGTCTTTTTTCCCATATCTCCCATATTCTGGCTAATGGCGCGCCACTGTATGGGTAGAGGCTGCTGTGCAACACGTATGAAGATAAGCGATGCGTATTCACATATGTATGTGTTCTGTACTGAAGCTAGCTGGAGGAACATTTGAAAACACCATTCAATCCACTAATAGTGAGCGATCTGATGTTTTTGTACGACAGATATACAGCCATTCACTGTACGAAAAAGTCTCAAAAGTGTCCCCAAAACATCTCGCTCCATTGCCCCCATATCACCCTCTTTTCGTTCCTTTGCCCCCATGTCGCCCCTTTTCATTTCATCGCTCCCCTGAAAAATGAAATCACCCCCTGGGGGGCAATATCACCCAGGTTAAGAACCACTGATCTATCACACTGCTTTAGATATTTGTCAAAGGTATTTGGAGGACACCAGGTTCTGCTCTTAGGAACAATTGATTCAAAATATGTATATGATCTAAGACAGTGGTTCTCAACATTTTTAATGCCGCGACCCCCAAACCGGTCGTAAGTCGAGGACTACTCAACCGGTCGTAAGTCGAGGATTACTCAACTGGTGCAGCACCGTTTGCAGAATGGGACTTTTGGCGGGCTCAGCAGGGCAGAGACAGCCTGGACAATTCCTATTGGCTTTTGAAAGCCAAGAGAATTAGACTCTATTCAAGAGAGTCTAGTCTATTGGCTTTCAAAAGCCAATAGAATAAAAGGGAGTAGCACAGCTAAGGAAAAGGGGAAAAAAATGGTGGACTGCATTGTTTGGTGACCCCCGTGAAATGGTCGTTCGACCCCAAATGGGGTCCCGACCCACAGGTTGAGAACCACTGATCTAAGATCTCAAATCAGAAAATCAAATTTGTAAAATCACTATTAAATTCTTCCATTTATGTAGCAATTAAAATAAAGAAAAAAAAACTGCAACAGATTCCTATGCTTCCAAAAACTCAAGTAGAAAGTCCCAGAGCAAATTGTCACTGTAAAGACATATTCTAGACCAGTTTCTCAATTTTGGCAACTTTAAGATGGGTTGATTTCAACTGCCAGAATTTCCTAGTATGTGGGCTGGGGAAATTCTGGGAGTTGACATCGCGAGTGTTGAAAAATGGTGCTCTAGGTTCTCTTCTGAATTTCCACCTATTCTCCATGCAAACAATGTCAACTTCCAGGATTCTCAAAAAGTGAATATTGAAGTCATTATTAACATCAATTACATCACTTTTTTTTTTACTACAGGTAATTCTCAACTTATAACCATGTATTTAGCACCTGTTCAAAGTTACAATGTCACTGAAAAGATGACTTACCACTGGTCCTTGCTTACTATCATTAGAGCCTCCCCATGGTCATGTGATCAAAATTCAAATGCTTAGCAACCAGCATGTATTTACAACAATTGCAGCACTCCATGGTCATATGAACTTCTAAGTTTGTTTCTGTTGATGGGGAAAACTGAATTCCCTTAACAACTGCAGTAATTTCATTTAACAACTATGGAAAAAAGTTGTACGATCAGGCAAGACTCATTTAACAACAGCGTTCCTTAACAACAGAAATTGTAATCTCAATTTTTGGTTATAAGGCAAGGACTATCTGTTAAGCACCTGAATTTTGATGAGTTATCTGTCAGTTTGGATTTTAACTCATCTGTTGCCATCTACCATGGCAATATATTTTAAGAACTGCAATCTATAATACAAGGAGGGCCCGCCTCCTTCAGAATATAATATATAAACATCAGATATATTTGTGAATATTGACTACTTAATGCTAAGCAGTTAACATTATAATGATAAACACTTAGGACCAAGTTTTCCATAAAGGTGAATGTTCAGATTTGATTATTCATTTGAGGAAAAGAATGCTCCACTGATACCAGATACATTGTTATATTTCATATATGGAAGTGTAGTCTCATATATTGCCATGTGTAAAAGTCATTAAGAATTTATTTAGCATACTTTTCAAAAATATAATGCAAAGCAAATTTTAAACTACACTCGAAGCAAATGAAAGGCAGAATTGTCTCCCCAAAAATCAGTTTTGCCTACATGATCAATATAGTCACACCTTTGTGACTTTTGTGTGTCCAGAAAATGATTTGCTGAAATCCTAGAGAAAGGGTAGCTATGTTGCAGGTAAATCTGCAGTGAAAATGGAAAATTTTATGTATGACAAGCTAAATTGTAACTGTAACAATAATTCTGCCAATCCTAAAAGGTTCTGGTGACAATGTCAATAGTTCATATTTGCAGTTATGCACAATTGGACTATTTAAACACTTCACAATGGAATTAATTTTTCAATCAAAATAGAGTATTTCCTTTCAAGTAGTAGCTTCTTTTTCAGTAATCTACAATTGTTCGTCCTTCAATATAGCATACAAACTATCAGATAATATTGATGACAGCAAGCTAATTTGAGTAAGATTTGTTAATCTCTACTATCTCTGCTGGGGTGATGGAACTGAGAAAGGAGAAATACAAAGTACTTTCTTTTGTAGAAATATTTACTTCAAGAACATATCTGAATTAAATTTCCAAACTATCACATACCAGCCGTTTGGATCAAACAAAATTCCTGAAACAATATGACAGATAAACTGTGTTGTCCATTTCTAAGCCTTCTAAGTAAGTTGCAAACATGTTCTTACATATATACTGTATTAAGAATCAAGATGAAAAAAGCAAATTAACTACTTTTATACAAGGTAACTGCACAGTCAGGGAGATACCTGGTTAGCTCAATATAAATATATCTATAACCAGTGAAAGACTGAGTGATTATAATATAAAAATACATATAATGATGACTAAACCAGTTTGATAATTGATCAGGATTTCCAAGTTTTATTTTCTTGTTACTTACAAGACCACTGTTTACCCCAAACCAATCTATCAGTTTAGGATGAGAGGCTGATTAATAATACCAAACAAAATATTTGATATTGTAAATTTTATTAGCCACTTAAAACTGCAACATATCTCTAAAATTAAACAAAAACAGGAGCTGATTGATTGTGCCATTGCACAGTAAGCATTATGCACTTTACAAAACCCAGTAATATGTTACATAAAATTATTTTTAACTATCTAGATAACCATTCAAGAATTAGTGAGTTATCTCTGACTTATTAAAATGGGCATATTTCACATTTTGAAACTGCTCTCGAAAGTGAGACAGCATATTAGAATCTCAGATTTCATTCATTGAAGTTTTTTTAAAAAAAGACCTACTAGGAAAGGTATCTTTTAGATTAGTTAAGTAACAAGATGCACAGCTTCTTCTTCTTTTTCTAAAGAAATACTTATATTTAAGACCACACAGAACTTTTTGCCTCATGCTAAGCATTTTATTTGACTGCACGGGAAAAGGACGGGGAAAGAGAGAATGGAAACGTGTAGAGAACATGTGAAGAGGAGAGAAAGTTTAGGAGAAATCACAAGGTAGGCAGCTGAGTTTTAAAACGAGCCGTTAAGGGGTCAACGGCCGGCAGCGCGTACAATCTGGTCACAAGCTGCTATCTCGATTACGGAGGCCGACTGCGGCCTGGCTAGTCAGGATGCGGCGCCGCGCCTTTCCCGATCAGGTTACAAAACAAGAGAAGTGCTGGGAGCCAAGAAAGGACCAGTTGCAGCTACGGAAACAGCCAGCCAAGCGTCCGCTCTCAGTGAGTCTCGGCGAGCCAAGGCAGGCACAAGCCGACCTCTCCTGAAATGCCAGGTGGGGGCGGCGCTAGGAGAGGAGCAGCACCAGGCCGGGCCTACGGGAACCGCCGCCTTCAGCAGGCGGGCACGGGGCGAAAGGCGGAGCGGCCGAGAGGCGCTCCTTCCAGAGCCAGCCAGCCTTCCCGTCCCCCTCCCCAACTATCGCTGCCTACCAGCCGGCTGCCTTCCAGGCCCGGGCCACAGCCGATACCACCACCGCCGCTTCCCCCTCCTGCTCGACGACAAAATGGCGGCGGCAGGAAGTATCATCAGCACCCGCCCCGCCCAGGCTCCCTCACTGCGCCACCCGCGCACCAGACCGGACTCCCAGGCGCGGAGAGTCTCCTCTCTTTCGACGCACGGACAGAGATCTACCCCAGGGCGCAGCCATCCGGGCAGCCGGCAGAGGCAGGAAGCGCTCTGGAAACGGATGCCCAAGTTCCTAGCGGTATACGTGCTGAGGACACGGACACGCTTACGATAATCACGTATCCTACAGGGAAAAACGACGACGCTCTTACGCAAACTCCGCATCCTCTCCAAGCGCTCCTCAGCACCTACCGCAATCCGCGTAACCGTGCAAAATACCAAATCGACTACCAGGCAATCGCCCCGAATACAATTTGTCCGGTAACTGCGAAATACACATAAAGGCAAACAGAGAAAATGCTCCTTTCACTCTCAGAAAAACCCTAGTTAAAGCTCCATCACCAAACGGCGCAGATTCAAAAGACCTTTGCGCAATAGGCCCCGGCGCAAAATACGTAATCCGCCTGACGCAACGGTCACATTACGCAATGCGGGTTACGCCGGCAAGGCAACGTAATTGCCCAAGGAGAATACCAACCTCCGCAGCCTCTCCCGGCCCGGCCCAGCTCTTACCTGATACCAAACGATAAGCCGGAGCAGGCTGTTTTGCCACCAATCTCCTTATCCGAGCAAATACCGTATAGCCCCGGCCACAGACAAGGCTCCACACTCCGCCTGGAGGATCGAGTACCACAAGAAAAAAACGACTAAAGCAGACCCAGCGACGGGCAGCGGGACCAGCAACGGCGGCACTACGCTGACCTCACCGCGCAGCGCGTTACGTCATCACGTAGCAAGCCCCGCCTCGCGTAAAACAGAGGACTTCGAATTCTCTGTCTTCAGACACGCCTCTTGAATCGAACAGTCGTGCCACTGGCGAGCAGTGAGGTTGCTTTCATTTCTGCGACAGGACTCGCGAGCGAGCGGGAAGTAGAGTTGGCGGTGCCTCCGTGTTTAAAAGATCTCTATTGCTAAGGGCACTACCTTTCCTTCAATAATGTCGCAGTCACGAGCGGGTTTTTTCCCCCCTGTCATTCCCTCTTAGCTTTCTCTCCAGTACGAAACCAGCCTCAACAAGCCGGAAGATCAAAGTTCCTCTCCCGCTTGCCAAGATGCAGCATTCCAGATGGGTCCATTTGTGAGGGCCACATTAGATCAACATGCGAATTCACGTGCCGCCACTTTGTCTGAAGAGTTTTAACACGGCACTACTCTTTATGAGCTCTCTGCTGGTTCCGAGCCCAATGGTTTTTTTTTTTTTTTGCTTCTTCAGCTGAGTTCTCGGTGATGATTCACTTTCCCCCAAAACAGGGTTCCCAGATCCGACCTGCAAAAAAATCAAAACGACCACTAGATGGGTTCGCGATTTTTTTTTTAAATCTCTCTGCTGCCCTCTAGTGATACCTTCATTTTTTGCTCTCCACCTCTGAAGATCCGACCGAGTATAAGACATGGAAGCGCGTCACTGGTGCACGCATAGACCAAACAAGCCGTTCTGTCAGGAAGCCTTCCCGCCGTGCAAATGTACTGATTTTGCCGGGAAACTGCTCTGAATCTGAGAAAGCAACGCCCCTGCTTAGAGTATCTAGGGAGATTCTCAGTTATCCATGTTATAGTTGACCCAAAGATGCTTTTTTCACCAGGCAACTGAATTTTCTTGTTTTTCCCTTGAAGACGTTTCGCTTCTCATCCAAGAAGCGAGACGTCTTCAAAGGAAAAACGAAGTCCAGTTGCCTCGTGAAAAAAGCATCTTTGGGCCCCCATAGAGCGGTTGCTTGCAAGTCTTTCTCCTCGCCTCCTTCTCCACAGACCGAAGCTTGGTCTCCCAAACGCTCCTCTTGCTTCAGCTCCTTAAGAGAGAAGAGCATCCGTGTAATAAAAGGTGCCCTCACTCAATCCTCAGCATGCAGACCGACCGGCGGAGCGGAAGGAGCGTCCTTGTTCGCGCCAAGGACTTTAACCATCCAGGCACATTTACCTCCCAGCCTCCGAGGCTGTGGCGCAAAGGACGAGCGGCCGCTTTGGAGCGGAAGCTTTGCAAAGCGGGCAAGCAGTGAAAAACGACACCTGCTTTCTCCTTGACAGTTTAGATTAAGTGGAATTTGGATGGTTGCGAAACGCTAGCCCACCGGCCGGCCTGCATCGTTCTCCACTCCGTAGAAGGGGGAAGTAGTGGCCCGGCTACACGAATGACTCACGGTGCCAGTTCGTAAGCATGCCTTGATACTCAGTACAGGTAGTCCTCGGCTTATGACCACAACTGAGCCCAACATTTCTGTTGCTGTGAGACGTTTGTTAAGTGAATTTTGCCTCATTTTACGACCTTGTCACAGTTGTTAAATGAATCACTGCAGTTGTTAAATTAGTGACTTGATTGTTAAGTGGATTTGGCTTGTTTACTTTGCAAATGCAGAAGGTGGCAAATGGTGATCACGACCCTGGGACACTGCAACCGTCATAAATATGAGTCAGTTGCCAAGCATCTGAATTTTGATCACATGACTATGGGGATATTGCAATGGTCTTAAATATGAAAAACAGTTATAAGTCACTTTTTTCAGTATCACTTTTAACATTGACCAGTCACTAAATTGTAGGAAGTCAGCACCCTTCTCCTAGAAAAGGAAATATTTGGGGGATATTAAAAAAAGGCAGAATATTATATTTCCCCAAAGGAATAAGAAAAATTTTTAGGCAGAAATCACCCCCCCCCCCAAAGCCTCTCTGCCCCAAGCAGAAACCAGCTTTTAGAAATGCAGATTTGGTGATTCATTCAGGAAAACTAGAGCCAGGAACCTTGCAGCTGATGGAATTAGAAAGACAAAGACCCCTAAAATCTACATCCCCCACCCAAAATCTAAAGACATGATCTTTAGGACATAATAGGATTAACTCATCACCATTAGACTACCAAAAGGGTACACTGAACCTCAGGTCAAAGTTCATTGCACAGGAACAGGAACAACTTCAAATAGTAACAACTCCAAGCCTAAAGCCCAAAGGAGGTATAAAAACCCACTACTCCCAGTTCCATTTTGTCAATCACCCCAGAAACATGCTGCTGTCACTGAAGTTTCTGGCAACAAAATAAACAAGAACCTTCTTTCTAAAGTAGTCTCCATTTTGTTTATTCCTGACTTGAACTGGATCCAGATGAAGATTTTTCTTTCAACAAAATTAACTGTTGTATGTTGAGGACTACTACCTATAACTCCAGCAATCTCAGACATCACTTTTTACTTGAGATGACGAGTGAGGATTTATCTTGATTCCGTTATCCGTCTTAATAGCATATCTGGATTAATTAAATGGATGTGGAGAGAGACTAGTGAAAGTATAGCAGTCAGAAGCATGGCTACCACTGGCTGTCTAACCATTCTTCATCCAAGGTGTATTTATCTGGGACATTTTCCAAATAAGACATACCACTCTCGTGTGCAGAAATAAATTACATAAAACAAGTTGGTGTTCCCACTACAGTATAAATAATCTATTGTATTTGTATAAACAAACAATCAGTTCCAGAGAAAATAGGAATGCATGTCAGCAACAGAGAAAAAAAATGTATCTATAGGACTAGACTAATGGAAGATCAATATTCCTCTGGAATATTGCAGATTCATAATTTTTGGAAGAATGCCTTATGCATCTGTACAGTACATATAGTTCTCAGCTTTCAACCATTCAATTAGTGACTGAAGTTACAATGGCACTAAAAACAGTGATACAACCAGTCCTCACACTTACAATTATTGTAGCATTCCCACAATCACGTGATCAAAATTTGGAAGTTTAGCAACCAACATGTATTTACAATGGCTGCATCCTGTGTTCATGTCATCATTTGCAACCTTCCCAGCCAGTTTCTGACAAGCAAAGTCAATGGTGGAAGCTGGATTCCCTTAACCACATGATTCAATTAAGCACTGATTTGCTTAACAGTGGCAAAAAAAATCATAAAATCAGGCATGATTCACTTAACAACTCCTTGCTAAGCAATGGGAATTTGAATCCCAATTGTAGTTGTAAGTCAAGGACTATCTGAACTCTTAATGTACATAGACATCAATCTCATTCTGTTTTAGAGAAAAGTGTACACAAACTCAAACAACTAATGAACAAAATAAAATAGGAGATACAAGAAAAAGGAAATAAAGCTAACACTAGTCAATATAAATTTTCATAACAATTTATAATCCTGCAAACTTTTTTTGCTTCCACACATTCATACACTGCTTTGTACACTGCCATTTAAAATACTCATCACTGCTTTGGCAATTTCATCAAATCTTAAGTTTTCTTCTTCCTATCAATTTGTTTTATCTTCTTTCGTATATACAGTATATGTCTTGTGATTTTATCCTCATTCTTTCTGTGATGATCACCATGTATTTATGGCCACTCTGTTCAGTTCATATTCATTACCACTTCCTCTTGACTCCATCTGTTCTTGTTTGACCATCCACTCTTTTTAAAAAATTCACTGCATTTAACTTATTTCTATGCTTTCCTGACAAACTAAGCTCTTATTTTTATACAATAAATGAGGAAGAAGCCTATTCTTATGCAAAAAAAGCATTTTCATTTTTAACATGTTTGTTTGTTACTTTGGATCACGTCTATGTCTTAAAAGTTCTCTATTTTCCATCTTTAGTCATTATTTTCCATCCTTAGTAAATACTATAAGCTACATAAATTTATTTATAATGGTGCTTAAAAATTTACTTACATTCTGAAATGAAACAATGGGACTTGATCTTCTAAATGATAACCATTCAGATATTTGAAATGTACCAACGATATCTGCTCAGGCGTATTTCCTCAAAACTAAGCGTGCACAACTTTCAATTTCTCTTTAGAAAAATTAGGTTTATAGTCCCTAAATTACTCTTTTTATTAACATTTACTTTTGAAGTCCAAATGTTTGATTATGCTCAGTTTTGTTTCTTCTGATTTCCTCAGCTATGCCTTTCCTATTCATTAGTATTAAATCAGGGAGAATCGATTTTTTTTTATTTAAAAGAAGCAGTTTACTCTGTTACTGTATATGCCGCCGTATTAGGCGACCCGGCGTATAAGACGACCCCCATCTTTATAGCTGGGCCGCATTCCTAGAACGTCGTCTTATATGCCGGAAACTACCAGTATTTCCGGCGTATAAGACGACTCGGCGTATAAGACGACCCCCGTCTTTGACGCCAATTTCAGCGCTCGCGGAAGTCGTCTTATACACCGGCATTTACGGTAATTTGCAGAATTCTGGTCAAAGGCCACAACAAAGAACTAATTGACTTGTTGGTTTTCTTGTGCAGATGAGAGTTGTCCACAAGAAAGCAGAATGTGCTACATCTATACATTTAAGCTCAACTCCATTTTTGAAAATGTGTGGATACAGCACATCCATTTTGGAAAATGGAGGTACATTTGCTAACTGAAACAGAGGAATAAATTATACATCCCCAAATGCTGGCCCAAAGTCCCTATTACAGTATTTAACTGAGCAGAATTTGAAAACTTTGCTGGTTGCAAGTACAGAAGACGGTTCTGTCACACTATAAAAAATCCACTAGCGCAAAGTTGAATTCTAAACACTAACATTATTTTTCCCAATATCCAAGTTGATCCTTAGCTCTTTCAATTCCAGAGTTCTGATTACTTTAATTTGTATCAGCAGACCTGCAGAATTAAGGCAAATGTCATAAATTAACACCAATTTCACAAATTAACCATTAAAACCAAATAATCAATACATTTGTCAAAGCCATCTCCAACAGAA